CCGGCCCCCAGCGGGCCTCTGACAGGTGGAGGCCCGGCCTGCCTCGGCCTGCCTGTGTCTGGGAGAGGCGTCCAGGGCTGCAGGCCCCTCCCCAGGAGCAGGGGTGGCCAGCGGTCAGGTATGCCTGTGTAGCAGGAGTCTCACTGCGTCGTCGTGATGTTTTTCAGCAACAGATCTGACACTCTGCCTCTGGCCACTCGGTACAACGTCAAGTGCGTGGGGCTGTCCCCGGACGGCCGCCTGGCCATCATCGTCGATGAAGGTCCTGCCCTGGGGGGACCTGGTGGCCGCCCGGGCCTGCCGAGGGTGCTGCCTGGCGTGCATGGCATCTTGGGTATGGGGTGTGCCCCGTAGGGCCCCGCTGACCCGGGGTCGCTGTGCCCCCCACTGCAGGGGGCGACGCGCTGCTGGTCAGCCTGGTGGGCAGGGCCGTGCTGCATCGCTTCCACTTCCAGGGCTCCGTGCACAGCGTCTCCTTCTCCCCAGACGGCAGGTGCGTGCCAGTGGGAGGAGACCTGCCCTGGCCAGGGCCCAGCCTGCTCTGTCCGAGCCGCGTCCGCCGTGCGGGGCGCCCCCTGGCGTGTCTGGCCGCCTCGCCCATCGCGAGCGGAGGGGCTGCGTGTGGCGGGGACATGGCCCTGGCGGGTGGGCTGGGCTGACCGCCCATCTCGCAGGAAGTTTGTGGTCACCAAGGGCAACCTGGCCCAGATGTACCACGCCCCCGGGAGGAGGCGGGAGTTCAACGCCTTCGTCCTGGACAAGACCTACTTCGGGCCGTACGACGAGACCACCTGCGTCGACTGGACGGACGACTCCCGGTGAGCGGGGCGGGCGGCCCTCCCGCCCACCGGCCCGGCGCCCTGGGCTGGCCAGCTGTCCTTGGCCGCTCTAGCCCAGGCTGAGCCGCGCCTCCGCAGGTGCTTCGCCGTCGGGAGCAAGGACACGTCCACCTGGGTGTTCGGGGCCGAGCGCTGGGACAACCTCATCTACTATGCCCTGGGGGGACACAAGGACGCCATCGTGGGCTGCTTCTTCGAGTCTGACAGCCTGGACGTACGTGCCCGCGCGGGCCCTGCGCGGTCAGAGCAGCCAGCGAGGGAGGCCCCGGGCCAGGCGGGCCGGTGGTGACCCCTGCCCGCCCCCGCAGCTGTACACGCTCAGCCGGGACGGAGCCCTGTGTGTGTGGCAGTGCGACACGCCGAGCGCTGGGACAACCTCATCTACTATGCCC